ACAGCGGTGCAAATGTTCAGTTCTGGAAAGATAAATGGGTGCCAACTCTCCCTAAATTCAAGCTCTTTACTCCTGTTCCTGATGGATCTGTGATCTCGAAAGTAGAAGATGTTATTGACTCTACCTGTAAGAGATGAAAGGCTGATGTTTTTCGAACCCTGGTTTCTGAATCTGAAATGGAAGCAATCAGGACAATTCCTTTTCCATTGGCACCTATAGAAGATGTACTGATTTGGCATTTTGACTCAATAGGGGTTTATTCAGTAAAATCTGGATATCATGTAGCTCTGTCAAAAACGCAAAACCAGTGGATTCAGAGACCCTCTTCCTCTTTTTGCCCCCCAGACACCTTTTGGAAGTTGATTTGGTCTCTCAAAGTTCCTCCAAAAATCCGCCATTTCTGGTGGAGAGCGTGTAAGAATGTGTTGGCCTCCAGAAAAAACTTGTTTCGAAGAAGGTGTGCCCCTTCTAATGTTTGCCCAATATGTCAATGCAAAGTTGAATCGGTGGAACATTTGCTTTTCGAGTGTGGATGGGTTAGAGCCGTTTGGTTCGAGAGTGATTTGCACTTCAAAGTTGATTGTGGAGCTATTCAATCGATTGAAAAATGGTTGTGTGAGCTGGTGGCAAATTTCAAGAATGAGGAGGACCGAGCTTCCTGCCTCAGTAAAGTAGCTTGGATTGGCTGGTTCATTTGGAAGGATCGAAACAATTATGTTTTCAACCATCACCCTGTGGAGCCCTCCTCGACTTTACATCGAGCTCGAGTGGCAATGGCGGAATTTGAGTATGTAACGATAAGCCCAGTTGTTTCCTTTTCTCACAGGCCTTCTCTGAACCCAACTGCAGTGGGCAACTGGATACCCCCTGATCAAGGCCAATTCAAAATCAGTTGGGATGTGGCTACGAAAAAAGGTTCCTCCCAAGCCTCTATTGCAATGGTATTAAGGAATGCTTCGGGACGGATTCTGCATGGCTTATCCAAGAAAGAATTTATCTCCTCTTCATTCCAAGGTGAAGCTCTAGCTTGCAGATGGGCATGTCTCTTTGCTCAAAACTGCGGTTTACCAGGGGCGATTATAGAAGGAGATAACAAATCAGTCATCCTCCTCAGCGTATCAGAGACTGTTCCTCCTTGGGAGTGTGGACTGATTATTGATGATATTAAGAGATTGGCTTCTCAGGAAGGGTTACGCCTTCAATGGAGACCTCGAGCTGCAAATCGTGTAGCCCATTGGGTGGCACAAGCCTCGCTGCATGGTCATCTCCCTCCGGACTAGGTCCCAAACCCACCAGCTGCCCTTGTTGCTTTATTAGGTGCTGGTTAGTTTTTTTGATTTCTGATGTTGTTCTGCTTTCTTTGCTCGGCTGTTATTTCCCCTGTTCAAAAAAAAAAAGAAAAAAAAAAGACTATAATATAATTTATATTAGCTTCCATTGAACACTCAACCAATAAAAAATTATAAAAATTCCCATTAAAAATAATCATGAGCAAATTATGTCTCTATTCTTATGGTAGCATCCAAAGCACATGTAATGTGAATGAAACCTAGCACATAAAAATTAATGATATTTATATAATCCAGATATTTTTTTTGGTTCACATAACTATTGAGGTCCTTTTTTAGCTATATACATGCACTACAAATTTGAAATGATTAAAAGCAATTGACTTTTCATAATTTTACTAGTACTCCTTAGTGCTTTCCTCATTTACTTAATTATTTGAAACATGGTTACAGTCAATCAATGGAAATTAAATTCATGTACAAATTCTTATCAGTGAATGTTAAAAGGAAACAGAAAATTCATGTTTTGTTAGAGAGGTCACTTTGATAACTGATGAATAATGAGCTGATATAACTATGAGTCTTGCTAGTAGTTGAGTTGGTGAGAGAAAAGAACAAAATGAAAACAAATTTTATGTTATTGTAATACATCAGATATCAGATTTGGTGCATTTGAACTTATGTGTGCTAAAATTTGACCACACAACCAAATTGAATATTCCTCCAAACATTTCGAGAACAAAGTCGAAGAACACGTGCACTAGATAGAATTAACACCTAAAAAGATGAACATAATAACTAACCTAGTTGCTGTCAAAATCGAACCAAGCCGAACTATGCTCACCCCTAATATGTGGAATGACATAAGCAATTGTCGTGCTTTTATTAACAGTTGCCTAATGATGTGGACGAATTTGTTACGTGAAGCTACAATTTAAGGGTGGATGAATTACTTATGTCAAAATTGTGTGGTTAAGTGTATTTTCATTAAACCGAAGGGGAGATCAATGCAATTTACCCCAAAAAAAAGGAACATGCTCTCAATCTTGTTGAAAATCAACCCATGACTCTCCATTTCTTGAATCTTCTAGGCCTCTCCCATTCTTCATATTTCCATCACTCTAGATATTATCCTATTCCTTTCTTAAAATATAAATCTCCACCATAAGATCTGTCACAAATATATAGCTAGAATAACTTTCACAATTCACTAACTAATTATAAATAGGGATGGATGTCCAAGTGAAAAGAGTGAAACAAGAATGGTAGAGGAAAGAAACTATAACAGGAACAATGAGAGGAAATAAACTAAAAAGTTAGGAGAGAGAGTTAATTCCAATCCCAAACCCAGCACACTAGAACTATCTCCGTTTTGTTGGAAAGCTCCCAAAGAAGGCTCCTTCAAACTCAATACTGATGGAGCCTCCAAAGAAAACCCAGGTCAAACTTCTGCTGGTGGCCTAATTCGAGATCACTTGGGACGATGGGGAAGTGGTTGTAGGAAAAACATTGGATGTTGCTCTAGCATAGTAGTGGGATTCTGGGCTTTGAGAGATGGACTTCAGCTTGCTCTTGAATTTCATATACGACTGCAGGTACCTCTTGAAGGAGTTAGAAGCGAGCACCTTTAATCACATCTACAGAGAAGCTAATGCTTGTGCTGATCTCTTAGCTAATATAAGATGTTTTTGGCTGAAGAATTATGTGTATTCCTTTCTACTCCTTGTATTTCGTTGCAACGTGCAGCTGATGCTAGAGGGGTAACTTACCCTAGAATATTGAAATCTCACTTTATGTTATAATATTTATTGTTTTACAAAAACAAAAAAAGTTAGGTGAATAACCCAAGTGAGGGAAACAAGTGAGAAGGGCAGTAAGAGAAATATATATGTGGTCGGTTCAATAAAATTGTTTATCTTATAATATAGATGGTAATTGTTTTATTTTGAATAAATTACACTGACATTTTTTGAAATATCATTGCTTTCCTTCAATGATATTTCAAAGCAATGATATTTCAAAGAATATACTATGTCATAGACTTGTTTTAGCAAACTACTATGTTATTCTTGAAAGGATATACTATGCCAACAGCCAAACATTCATACTCCTATTATCTTTGTCTTCATTACCAAAGACCACACTTTTAACCCACATAACTATGTTATAGACTTGTACTAGCTTAACCAATTTCCAAAAATTTTAGAGAACTAGATAGGAATGTGTTGCATCATACTCGTACAAACTTAGCAAATTTCCAAAAATTTTAGAGAACCAGATGGGAATGTGTTGTATCACAGGGATCACAGGCTTTGCATTGATTATGGCAACATTGGTGGCATTGGGCTGTGCCCGAGATGGGGTTGAGTTGCTGTAAATAGGGCTACAAGGGGCTGTGTTGGACAATAGCATTGATCGATTTCAACTATGACTATGACATTGGGGATTAGGACGCCAATTATTTAACAAAATGGATATGTGATTTTTTTATATAGATTTTTAGATGTAATCCACATGCTAGAGCAACTTCAACCATGCTAATCATTTATTGCTAGCTGAATGAGATAGAAAGTACCAATTTTATTTTAACTAGTCACTTTACCTTGGTAATTACTCCAATGCTACTCTCTATTTAGCTCTCTATCCAAACTAACTTATGGATGATAGTATTTTATGGCATGCCACATCAACGTTAGAGATGAAAGGAAAGAAGATAGAGTGTTTCTTGGAGTTTGAAGGGCCTTCAACGGCTCTCTAAATGTAGTCAATAAAAATATAAATAAAGTATAAAATAAAATAAAAGAAGCTAAATTAACTTAGCATTTAGAGAGCCTGTTGGAGCAGTAAAAAAAATAAAAATAGCTAATTATTTTACCTAACAAGTCTCATTTGAAGAGTCCATTAGAATTGCTCTACACTAACTATTAGCTTATGCAACTTTTTTACTGTTGAACATTTTTTTTAAAACAAAAATGTTTGAGACCCCCTTTTCCTCCCACCCCCTGATCCCCTTTTTCTCCCATTGGCCAGTTTTTCTTTCCTATTTTTTTTCTTTTCCTTCTCCTCCAATCACCACCCGTCACATGTGTGTGAGGGTGGCGGGGGTGGTGATTGGAGGGGGTCTCTATCAATGCTCTTTTTAAAAACCCAGTTGCAGACAAATAATAGTAATTCAATCCCATTTACAAAATCTGCTATTCATGGGTTTAATGGTGGAGTTGGTTGTGGGTTTGGTCATTCATGGTACATGTTAGAGGCGGAAACAGTGGTGGTGGCATTCAAAAAAAAAGAAATGGAAATAGGAATTAGAAAACAAAATGAAAAATGTGAGACAAAATAGAGATTATAGTAAAATCCGCATAGCATTAAACGGGGGTAGTTTGTATTTGTAACAACCAAGGTGTCAACTTAGGTCATCTATAGTGCTACACCAAATCCATCACCAAATTCAAATGTGTTGAAAAAGTCTCTTTTTTTGTGCTCCAATGGTTTCATCAAACATGTATCAAATTGAGAATATAACAATTATTTCACCAAACTGCACTTTTCAGCAATTAATTGTGCATAGCTGTTGAGTGGTGATCCACCAAACGACCTGCCGGACATCCGCCGGATGTCCCCCAGATGACCATTTCAAGGCAAAAATTTGTAAAAAATTTACATTGACCGGTCGACCTCTCGAATGACCACCTCCGCATCTTTTTCTTTTTCTTTTTTTCACCTGTACACCATTAGTACTACTATCATCACGATCAACCTGCATGAATTGACCCAATTAGAGTTTATCACTAAGAATTAGATCATCATGTTTATCAGTTAGAGAAACATAGGTGGTATGAGATGAATATGATACCTTAAGGTAAAACCCTTGGTTCTGGAAGAGTTCACCACCAGCTAGTTCAGGGACAATGCTCACTATACTTGCAATAGAGATGACATGTGCTCACCAGCAATCTTCACATCTATGCTCATATGTTGTAGAAGCTTCCATAGAACACCAGGGACCAAAGTAGCCATTGTTGGGGACTTCAATATCACTCTGAGAAAATCCAGATGGAGAAGTTCAATCTCTCCTATAAGAATGCTTTCACCCAGAAAATGAATAGAGAGGAAAAATGAAAGTTGATACTTAGAAAAGTTAAATCGTACAGAATCAATCAAACCCAAAAAAGTTGTTATAGATTTTTTGGATTGAACTTGCTGGTCGACTGGTCGATCGTCCCCCAAACGACCTATGTTTTGCGGACAACTAAAAATTTACCGTTAAAAAACTTGATATCAGATAGAAAAGTTTATCAAATTTTTACTTAAATTTAATAAAATATTTAGTAAACCGTGGAAGATATCCTTATATAACATCAAGAAATATGTGTTGCATTGACCAAAAAAATAGGACTGTTGCACTGTTCAATGCTACAACCAAAACAGAAAAAGACAACATGCTATTGACGACAGTTGCACCGACCACAGCCACTCAGTGTCGGACCTTGGATATCTAATCGTATATTCATTTTATTATGGTTGTGCTTTTTGTCATATTTTGGGGCGTTTTAGAAACATTGTAAAAAGTTTTTTTTTTTTTAAATTTTTTTAGATTATATCACATTTTTATTTTTTTATACAAAAAATTAAAAAGTCATAAAAAAAATTAAAATATTAATTTTTTACCAACTTCCCAAACACTACTTTGTTTTGCAGGGTGTTAACCCACTTCGTGCTTTGGAAGGCTTTCTTGTGCTTGGCATCAGGCCCAGTTTTGAGATTTTCGGGACCAAAAATTGATAATCAATTAATAAATTTCTAGAACCCTTCATATTTTTTTTTCATAAATCACAAAAAATACTTAGGTGTCGTTTGGTAACACTTACGTTTTCAATTTTTTGTTTATATTTACAAAAATTTTAAAAACTCAAATAAAAACTTGTTTGATAAAATTTTTGAATTATAAATCAGTGGTCTCAGTTTATAAATTGGGCCAAAAAATGAAAACACAAAAAATGTGTTTCCATTTTAAGTTTTGAATTTTTTTTTTTTTTTACCACCCAACACTAGCCACCACCAGCCACCATTTTCCACCACCGTCTTCCGCCACCACCACCCACCACCCACCCTCACCTGCCACCACCACACACCACCCACCTACCACCACCATCCACTAGCCACCACCCACCTGCCACCCACTTGCCACCACCACCCATCCCTCGCCATCACCGCCACCACCACCACCCACCTACCATCCAGCCGCCACTACCATCCACCGCCCGCCTCCACCACCCGCCACCTACTTGCCGCCACCACTCACCACCCACTTGCTACTACCAGCCACCCACCACCACCAGCCATCTGCCACTCACCCGCCACCACTACCCACTACCACCACCACCACTACCATCACCCACCACCCACCCGCCACTCACGTGCCACCACCACTGTTAGAGTGGCATTTATAATTGAAATTATAAATTTTTTGATGACTTTACAATTTTTTTTTTTTTTGGTCATACAATTAATTCACAACAACATTTTAATGTAGGTCTAAAGTTTGACTTATCTAGAATGAACAGCTTCTTTCCTCAATAAATGCTAATAATTTATTAGCCAACAAGCTTTATGTTCATATGACCATTCAAAGCATGTGAAGATTTGTTTTAGCTGGTTGGCTCTCAAAAAATTGCAACAGAACTTGTTACAAAGTCCAGGCCTATTCCTCTTTCAGTACTACTACAAAATGAATCACAAAACACTTAGAATGTTGCGTATCTTATCGTGTGTGTTTACACAATAAGCCTCGCTCCCTGTGACATTTTTGCAATTTAATTTTGTGTAGATATGTTTTTGTGAGTATTAATATTCACAAAATTATTTTAAAAACACTATTTGGTAATATAATTAGGCAAACAAATGGTTAAAAGTGCCTCTCAGTTATTGTTTAAAACTGAGATTTGTGTGAAAATGTAAATGCAGAAAAAATTTAAAAACATACTCATCCCTAGAAAAGTACCTCTCAACTAGAAAATTTCATTATCTGTATTTTGTATTTTATTACAACCCAAATAAATTCCCATATAACTAATGTAAATAAAAACAAACAGATCTTAATGTTCTGTTTGTTTTTATTTACATTTGTTTATAACTAATTTATTTGGGTTGTAATAAAATACAAAATACAGATAATGAAATTTTCTAGTTGAGAGGTACTTTTCTAGGGATGAGTATTGTACGGGAAAGAAATACACCTTCTCGTATAATCCTGTTGATCAAGTCCGTGCTCCTCCATACGACGTCGCTTTATCACCTGAAAACACAAACGTGAGCTAGCCGGCGGGTGTGTGCCGGAAACCTCTCCGATGCCTAAGTCAGTAAGCTTGACAAATAGACAAAAGCTCTGTGTATTCAGAAAGCAAAGTTGTGTGTTACCTCCTCCAAGGTGATGTTTGTGAGCTTTTATAAGTTTCGTGTGGCACAATTCTAGTAGGACTTCTACTTCTCCAAGCAGAGTCCTCCTAGGATTCATACTCCTGAAAGATAATGCATATCCTTCAACACCCCCCTCACTGCTTAAACCAAGTGAGATGGTTTTTACCATGGCCGAACTACCACATGACCGAAATAATACTGACTATGCTGAGCCACAAAGTAGGCCGAACTATCCTTAGTTCGGTTCTTTCTTTTCTACTCCCTATCTCGGTTCTTTTATGTACAAACCATGATATGTTTAGACCGAGCTACCGAGTAGTAAGGTTTTGACCGTTCTAACCTCAATACGTCATGACCGGACTAACTCTGAGACCGGCCTAACTCCAAGTTGCTTCCGGACTGGAGTAACTTTACAATTCTTGGGCCGGAGTAACTTTATCTCTCTTGGGCCAGAGTAACTTTATCTCTCTTGGGCCAGAGTAACTTTTCGGCCTTTTTACCTAGTCCTTCGTACTTTGGGCCATAAAGTCCATCTCATAGCTCGGCCCAATTTTCACCAAAATTACCCACTCAATTGCCCCTTAATTCCATCTGCACAGCATGATTGGGATTACCTGTCTACCAGCCGAGCTGAAGTTTTTAAGCCTTTCCAGCCGAGCTAAAAAAACCCTTTAGCCTCTCCAACCGAGCTAAAAACTCTTTAGCCTTCCGGCCGAGCTTATTTCTCTCCGGGCTCTGCTTGTCCAGTCAAAACGTCTCTTCAACCACAGCGACTGTAACGCTTTCCTATCTAGTGACACATGGCAGGCTCTGATAGGCTGGGGGTAGCTGTCACGCCGCCCTCGTACTACGAAAAATTTGAACAGTTCCCACTTTTTCTCTTTCGTCTCTTCTTTTACACAAAACACCCTCTATACTTTGGATTAACCACTCTACTATTACACCTCTTCTCTCTCCACCCTGTGTTCTTGCTGTTCTTCCGTTGCATTTGAAGAGACTGTGACTTTGCTGCCATTTTTCCATCTTCAGTGTTTCTACGTCTTTGTTTGGTAAGCAACTGGAATCTATCTATCTTTCTTTGCTTTTATTTACTTCCATGTAGTTTGTTTCGTGTGTTTTTGCAAAACATATTCTTTCCATTTGCTTTGCCCTGTACTTTACTGGAAAGAACTTTAACAGTAGAACGTATGAGTATATGATATATCCTGTAGAAAACTAGCTTTTGATCCAGAATCTTGTCCCAACCGAACTAGGAGACTGTTTGTGCTATATATGTAGATCAATTCAGACAATAACCGAACTAGAACTCGTAGAAATAACAGTAGTTTCAACAAGTTACCAACTCCTGATTCACTTTAGCCGAGATAAACTCACCGAACGAAGTTTGAACTTAGTAAACTAGGAACCTCGGCCCTCAATCGAGCTAAGCCTTTGGGGCTAAGCCAGCTTCCTTAGTTTCTAAACCAAACTCAGAAAGCTGCCCCTAGAGGCTCAACCGAAGTAACTAAACCCATAGATCAAACCGAGATAACCAGCCTCATACGAAAACCGATCTCGCGAACCTTATGCTCAATCCGAGCTACCAAGCACTTTGCTGAACGATCTCGCGAACCTTATGCTCAACCTGAGCTACCAAGCGCTTTGCCGAACCGAGATACAGCATCCCCATAGGCCGAAGTAGGACTTTTTAACTTTGCTTTGATTTTGTAGCACGGTCTGCGATTTGTGCTTAATACCTTTGTTTTCCACTTTGCAGACTTAGATTGCCCAGGCATTCTTCTACGCGCTCAACCGAGCTACCGAGCACATTCTTCCGACCGAACTAATTTATTAATAATTTATACAATAAATGGGGAAGTATAGGTATCTAGTAGACACTCCGGGCGGCCTAGCCGAATTCAGAAAAGACTACCATATACCTGATGACGTTCACCTGATTTTAGCTGGAAAGGATGTTATTCCTTGGGGTAATGAAGGCTTTGTCCCCTTCACCCTTTTGTCAATTATTGAAACCGGACTACGATTTCTAGTCCAACCTTTAATCTGTGAGTTTCTTAGGCAAACTAGATTATGCCCTACCCAACTATCCACCAATTCATACCGCATAATAATGGGGATAGCCGAACTAAACCGCCAAGCCGGTCAAAACCTTGGCCTGGCCGAAATCTTCCACCAGTACTCCATTGGTTCAAAAGAAGATGGGTGGGTCTACTATTTAAGAATACGTCGCCGCCGAGAGAAGATAATAAAATATACACCGGATAAAGACTTAAACGACGACGACTTTTTCTGGGTGTCTGGGAACTTTGAGGATCATCAAGCCCAGATTCCTGGCCGATGTATAAACTGGAAAAAAGGAGAACCCGGTATACTTACTTCGGTTTCCTTGTTTGCTTTTTTGTATTTCGGTTTTTCAATCTTTTAGCCGTACTAACAGTTGTCTTCTTTCGCAGATTCTGCCCACCTTCATTCTTTATATAGCTACCCAAACCTAGCTACTTTGCGCGCCACACTACGGTATCCAGAACGTAGTTGGGCCAAATTGCTAAAGTTCGAACCGACCTACAGATACAGTGGTCGCCGAAAAGCCAGAGTGACTGATTTTCTTCTTGAAGACGCACCAGAGCCGGACTCAACCTTACCACAAATCAGACTAATTCCACTAACTGCCGAAGAAGAAATGGCTAAAAGAAACAGAGTCAGGGCCCTCTTGACTGAGACCAACAGGGCCGAAGTACCACCATCAAGTCAAACCCAAGAAGCGGTGGTGGCCCTTCCTACGCAACAACTGTCCTCATCTCGCTGAACCATGCGCGCCCGGACTACCGAAACTGAACAACGCTTGGTTGATGAAGCCGAGACTGCCCTTCCACCGAGTCTCCAACCGGAGCCTTCTGACCGAACTACCACTAGCTGGACACCAAAACTTACCTTCAACAACCGAGATATCCAAGATTCTGACTCGGTTGTTACTGACAAGGATCACCAGTTGGCCTTCAACCTGGCCAAGAGTGTGTGCCTCCCCAAAGATATGGAGCACCACAAAAGCAACTAAACACCGAACTGAAGGCCATCTGGTCTTCAACAAAATCCATGATCCTGGTAAGTATCTATGTCCGTTTTTTTGTCTAATTTTTCCAACTTTCACTTCAACTCAAGGGAAGTCTTTGTTTTGTCAGGCCATTCAGAAAAACAACATCACTCACAAGAAAGTGTTAGAGCTCAGGAAAACAACAAGGCAAGCCGTGGCAGAAGCCGAAGCGAAGACGGTCGAGCTAGAGGAGGCCAGAAAGCAAATGGCCGAGCTACGGGCTGAGAACGGCCGACTGGCCGGACTGGTTAGTTTGGCTGAAGTAGAAAAGCAGAAGGCTGCCATTGTGCTAAAGGATAAGTATC